TGTAGCTCATGAAAGCTTATGCTCAAATAAATTTGTTAGTCTCTAAGGTCCCACAAGTACTCCTTAACTTACACTGGGAGCTGAATTAGTCCCCAGCCATCCCTGGAACTGGGAAGCTGCAAATACATTTTTGCCCCTTTCCTAGGACCTGAGACAGGCACAGCTCAGTCAGAACCAAAATTCAGGCCCAAAGTCTCTGTACGTTGTTGTTCAACAACATGACTCCCAAAGAGTAAGAGTGCCATCTAGTGAAGTTACTGAGATATTGCCAACATTACAGGTGAAGAAAGCTGCATATGTGGGTTTCCCCCAGGATTGTGCACAAGTGACTACAGGTAGTACTTAAAGTGTTCTTTAAGTCGCTCAGGAGGCAACTTCTGCAAAAGGGGGAAAATGGTCTGCGTATAGGGAGAGTTTCCTTAAGTGACAGCACTGAACAGAAAATGAGCAAAGACACGGATTGCGAGGAGTGGAACAGAACAGGTACATTCAGTTTAAATTCCATACAACAAACTCATTGATAGAATGTTAAAGTGGTATGGTTAAAGGGACAACTTAAAATCAAGTCCATTTAGAAAAAAAGTTAAGTAATTTCAGGCTCTACAGTGTCCCAGAGCCCCCTGCCATTTTTGTCATCTTACAATCACTCATACCTATTTTTCTGTATCGGTTAAATGAGGCACAGAAAGGGAATTACCCAAGTTCAAACAGTATTAGAACCTGTTTCTTGTACCAGAGAACAATGCCTGTGGCTTAGTTACCCTACCTAAAAATCAGGTTAATAATGATCGGCATCCACACAAGGCTTTAGAGCTCACCTTCTAAGTGCATAAGATTGGAAACACTTTGTCTGAGAAGCACTGTGGTTTGGTAGATAAAACAAGAGTCTAGCACAGAAATAAACATGCTCTTTCCAGCTGTGTTGCAAGCTTAACCATGGGAGTTTAGGCAAGTCTGTTCTCTGTGCCTTCAGAAACCCCATCTACCAAATGGGTTAATGTTAGTCCCACACCTAGGAAGGGCAAATAAGAGACATAACAAAAGAAGGCGTGTCAATTTCAGAAAATTATTAAAGCCACTCAGGGAAGAGGTAGGAGCAGAACTCAGGACCTTCTGCATGTTCCCCTAAAGCCAAAGTTGCAGCAGATCCAGATTCAAAATATTGGGGGGGGGGGGGGGGATAATCACAGCTGTTTAGGAGCAACCACTACAGAGATCAGTACACAGGTAACTCAGCAGTGCACACATCCAAAAACCCTTTTTAGATAAGCATTTAACACACTTAATAAAAAAAACCTACTGCTTGGTATTCAATTTTCAATGGATTAAAATCTCCCCAATTCGCAAGCTGATTCCTTGGGATGCTCCCCATTCCATGGAAAACTGACACTTTTAAATCCCACGATTTGGCTGTGAGACTATTAAAGTAGGTTATTTCGTAATAATGGGAAAAGCACACAAGTTCCCTATCCCTCCTGTCAGCTGAAAACAGATGAAGCATTTTGGCTCAATTTACCAAACATTCACCTTCAGGCAGAGACTAAGCATGGAAAACTTCAGCTATAAGATGGGAGTTCCACAAAGTGATGAGTAACTGAAAATGAAGTTGCACTGGAAACCCCTAGGCCACCCTTCCTACAGCACAGTTGTGTCTGGGCACTACCCTACAAAGGGAATGAGAGATGTGTTTCTCTCCTAAAAACAGAAACAAGGCTAATGAGAGATTAGGTTATGCATCAAAATTAGGAAAATGCTTTAGATTATTAAATCAAAGCAATGTGCAGGACAGGGTACAAAGCCTCCTAGATGTGACCACAGGCTTGCCAATCCACCATGCAACTTATACCCTGCTGGCAAAAGTAGAGAGTTTAAAAAGCCATTTGCTGATTTGTACCACTTTTTAAAATTGAGTCAGGAGGGAAACAAACCAAATTGCTTGGTTTTTTTTTTTTTTTTGGAGCCCTAACCCTAAAGCTTTAATCCTCCCCCCTACACCCACCTCTCTGCTTCACCTACATGTACCAGGTAGACCAGTCTTCCCCCAGCTGCTGGCTGCTCCCTGTAGGCAGGTAGGTCATCGAGAATAAGGAGATTAGTAGAACAAATTGTCTGGGAAGACCCACAGCCAGCTGAAAAGGGCAGGCACCCCAGGAATTCCACAGCCAGTTTAAGGACAAGGGGGAAACAACCATCTCCCTAGAGAGACCTGCATTCTAACCACACTTTGAAAAGCATGAAAAATATAAATAAACCATGGAAATTGATATTTAAAAAAACAGTCAAATACACATGTACAGGCAGCTCCTGAAAGGCAGTCCCATGTGCTGGGTGGCTCAGGGAGATCAGGGTGGCTCATTATATTCAGCAGTTCCTGGAGCTTCATAGAGGACAGAAGATGCTTTTGTGTGGGATTTAAAGCCTATTTCAAACCCTTGGAGGGAGAGTTCTATAGGTCTTGGCTGCAGACTCAGTTCAGATAGGCAAATGGGGACATTTGCAATAATTGTATAACAGATTGAGGAGGAGGATTGGGGAAGCTGAGAAAATACCAAAATGAGAAACCCTTGGAGATGATGCTGAGGACAGTCTCTGGCTCAATGTCCACCTCAGCAACACCCAAGGAGGAGTCCACTCAGAGTTTGACAGAGAAGGATGTCCCACACGAGCAGCCCTGCTCAGCTTGTGGATTGCTCACCACCTGGAATGAGTTGCGGATCAGCTCCTGGCTGAAATCCACCATTGCACCTTTCACAAAGGCCAGGCTGTCCACATCCACAACAACACGAGCACCACTTTGTTCAAACACCCTAGGAAAGAAGCATATGTTGCTTGTTATAACCCCACAGACAAAAAAGGGAAAAGCACACTTCCAGAAGTATAAAGGAATACACTGTGATCACCTACCTCCTCCCTTCAACACATATTATCACACATACCCTTCTCACCACTTTAGTCCACAGAAGTCTCCCCCCACCATCATACAACCACACCCCTTTATCCTCTGTCCTTGCCTGTCATCAGGATTGATAACTGTGTCCAAAGAAAACTTGTACTGGAATCCAGAGCAGCCACCTCCCTCCACTTGTAGCCTGAGAAACTCAGACCCTTCTATAATCTCCAGCAGCCTCTGCAAAGCAGAAAGGGAGGAGCATTAAAAGATCTGCAATATTCATGTGCAAGCAGACAGCATCTGCTTCCAATCCCATATCAAGCCTACAAGATGCCTCAACAGGACAAGGGCCAGAATCAGAGCAATATGGAAGGGGCACCTGTATGACCTTGGGGAGGTAACTCATAAGCAGCCAGGTCTGCAGCATACCCCTGTCCACCACAGCCATGTGTGGGGAATCCCTCATGCAGCTCATGTGAGAGATGAGGGGGAAATCACTGATTTCCCAAGACTCAGCTCCCACGAAGTCTGCAGTTGCCTCAAAGGGCACTGCGTGTCTGAAAGGACTCTGTGTGTGTGGGGGGGGGGAGGGGGGTGGTCATCAGTGAACCCTGCGGATGATTACCAGATGCTTTGGGAACCTTTAGATCAAGTAGCTATAAGTAGCATGATGTTACAGGCATGTCAATTATAGAGAATTTCATGCTCGGAGCATGCCAGGCACTGCAACAACCTTTTCAATGACATGCACACAATGACACACCATGAGTGCCTTCTAGAGAACTGTACCTTCACACAGCTGTTGGTGAGGTAGATATGTCCCTCGCTAGAGTCAGACACTGGTTGCCCTGGTTTAGAAGAGGATGATGCCCACTGCACCCTGATGCTTGGTACATGGACTCCATTCTGAGAAGAACAGAGTGGTGTTCTTACTAGGCGCAGCAAAGTAGGAGAAAGGCTGCTGTGAAAAGATGGGGAAGGAAATAGTCAGCAAGGCAGGTGAAAAGCACAAAGGTTACTAGAGCAGAGCTCCAGAAAGGAGATTTTGGGAATGCCGAGGGGGGGGGGGAAAGGAATTCTCATGAGAGAGTAGAAACAACCTGAGATGGATGGGGAGTGTCAAGGAGGAGAAATGCCTAATCGACACTGCTTCGACGTACATATATATATATATAGCTAGTGACAGCACAGAGAGATTATAGAAACAGGCTAGTTCACAGCAATGGTCAGGTTAGTCTGGTATTGGGTATGTGACAGCAGCCACTATCAGATGCTTTGGAGGCAGGAGCGAAGAACGCCCCAGCCCACTGTGCTGGGCGAGCCTGCCCACAGAGGGGGTCCCTGGGGAGATGGCTTGTGCCCTGAACCAGGAGTGTCCGTGTCCATCACCTGTCTGACACCCTGTCTACTACAGGTACCTTAGCTACAGGCGAGACTATTTTGCTACCTGCTGCCAACTCTTGGCCGGGCACCGGGCACCAGCGAGTCCCTGGAGCACCTGCGCATTGTTCTAAGGCGGTTTTCCCCGGCAGGGTCACACCGCGCGGCCTGCGGGGCGGAGCTAACCGCGCCCTGGCCCCGAGGTTCGCAGTGGCCCCGTGTCCCTCTCCAGGGGCGCCACCGGCCCGCACCTCATCCCCCGCCCCCCGGGGGAACGGCCGGGTCAGGCGCCGAGCGGGGCTTGGCGCTGCCGACCGCTCGCTGCACGGCAGGGGCCGGGTGCTCGCGGCGAGGCTGCCCCAGGGCCGGGAGAGGGAGCTGCAGGCGCGCAGCGCCAGCGCGGGGCCCCCCCACACGCGCCAGGGACGGAGCGGGGACCCCGGGCTAGTGTCCCGGCTCCGCCCGAGGCCGGCGAGAGGGCCGCAGCGCTACCTGCACCGAGCGCCGGGACGCAGCCTCCGCAGATAGCTCAGCAGCACCCCCAACGCCGCCATCTTGCACCAGGGGCCCTTAGAATGCCCCGCCCACCTGCCACATCGCTATTGGTGCAGAGCCCGCCGGGCTCGGTGACGTGAACCTGCTATGACAGCTACCGAGGCGGAAATGCCAGGGAGGAGGTGCGCGGGCGCGGTAGCGAAGTGGTTTAGGAACGTAGCGTCTTGAGTTTGGTTGCTAAGCAACAGACTGGCTGATGGGGCCGGCTCACCCGCGTCACAGCCTCCAAGCACCCACAGAGGCGGCGCCCCTGAGCAGAAGGATTGCTCCTGTGGACTGCAGCCAGGGATGGGGTCGGGCATCCTGTCTTCCTTTAACTGCTGCACCACCTTCAGTTCGCTCTTGCCGACAGTGTGTTTGGGCTGACCTCTGTGTACTGGATTACCCTGCTGCATGACAGCATGTCACATAGGTAGGTGTTTGGCAAACTTCATTTCTGCAGGACAGTTTGCAGGATTGGGGCCAGATTGCTGATACGGAGGAAACAGAAACTGACTCACAGAGGGAGTAAAAACAGGAGGGGAAATCCAATGTCTTTTAATGTTAGTGATTTTAGATGTTTTTAGTAACAGTAGTCGTAAAAATCTGACAGCATGACTTCTGTTTTTCTATGTTGCCCAGATTGTAGATCCCCTTGCAACCAGACAATAAGGTTAATATAGGCTGTGACAGGTTCGGTCACAGAGACCCCCTTGAGGCGGACACCTGATGTGTTGGAATTTCCTCTGAGCCCATTTTCCACTGCCAGCTTGGGACTCCAGAACCCTGTCGTTTTGAGCCAGACATGCTAGTTTGCTGCAACACAGACCTAGGTCTGGTCCACGCCCCAAAGCTGCAGACTTTAACCCGAAACTGCTCAGGAAGTCACCTATCTCCAGCACCCAGACACCCAGCTCCCAATGGGATCCAACCCCAAATAAATCCGTTTTACGCTGTATAAAGCTTATATAGGGTAAACTCATAAATTGTTCACCTTCTATAACACTGATAGAGAGATATGCACAGCTGTTTGCTCCCCCAGGTATTAATCACCTACTTTGAGTTAATAAAATCACTTTTTTGTTTATTAAGTATAAAAAGTAGGATTTAAATGGTTTCAAGTAATAACCAACAGAACAAAGTAAGTTACTAAGCAAAACAAAACAAAACACAACACACAAGTCTAAGCCTAATACATTTAAGAAACTGAATACAGGTAAATTTCCCCCTCAGTGATGTTCCAGTAAGCTTCTTTCTCAGACTAGACTCCCTTCTCATCTGGGCCCAATCCTTTTCCCCTGGTACAGTTCTTGTTAGTTCCAGCTCAGGTGGTAACTAGGGGTTTTCTCATGATGGCCAGCCTCCTTTGTTCTGTCCCACCCCCTTTTATAGCTTTTGCACAAGGCGGGAATGTTTTGTCTCTCTGGGTCCCCACCCTTCCTTAAACCTGGTGCTTTTCCATTTAGAAGATGGATTCCAGTACCAGGTGACATGATCACCTAAGACCTCATTCTCCATTCTTTCAGGGTTGGCCTGCAAGTACCCATGAAGGTTTGCAAGTAAACAGAGCCATTCACCACCAGTTGTCCTAGTTAATAGGAGCCATCAAGATTCCAAGCCACTATTAATGGTCCACACTTTGCATAATTACAGTGACCCCAGAGTTATATTTCATATTCCTAGTTTCAGACACAAGAACAATACATTCATACAAATAGGATGAACACACTCAGTAGATTATAAGCTTTGTAACGATACCTTACAAGAGACCTTTTGCATGAAGCATATTCCAGTTACATGATATTTACACTCATTAGCATATTTCCATAAAACATATGAAGTGCACTTAGGCCTAGAGAGAAGCAAGGGTGAGCCAGCTGGGCTCATTTTCAACTAATGTCATTAATACTTTATTAGCAAGACAAACTAGGCAGATGTCATTTGAATGTGAACATAGTACTAGCATGGATTCCAGCACATTTTGGCCTGGCAGCGAAATGGCAGAGAAGGAAGCAAAAAAATGCTTTAAAAATGCAGCAATTGATATAAAGAGTCCTTTGAGTAAGAAGGAATTTGAAAATTTAGTTAAAAAGGATTTTAAAAGGTATGCCAGGAATTGTGGACCAAGGAGAAAAGAGGACGAGGATTCTATGAAGTATACCCCAAAATAGAGGATAATGTGCTACTGTACTACAAAGGTATGTAAGGTGAAGTACTTCTAGTTAGGCCATTAACTGGTTACTGTGGTTTGAATAATGATAATTTATATTTATTGAATAGACATAAAGATGTGTTATGTAACATATGTAAGATTAAAGAAATGGTTGCTCACCTGATATGGGACTGCAGGGAGTGTTCCCCAGGAAAGAAAGCCTCTTTATGAAAAACTTATGTTTTCAGGAGACAGAATATACTGTTAGGTTTGAGAGTAACAGCCGTGTTAGTCTGTATTCGCAAAAAGAAAAGGAGTACTTGTGGCACCTTAGAGACTAACCAATTTATCTGAGCATAAGCTTTCGTGAGCTACAGCTCACTTCATTGATGAAGTGAGCTGTAGCTCACGAAAGCTTATGCTCAGATAAATTGGTTAGTCTCTAAGGTGCCACAAGTACTCCTTTTCTTTTTGAGAACATACTGTGAGGGTTTAGTGAGAGCCTCAGGAAAGTAGGGTAATAGTAAAAAATATCTACTGTGTTTTTTTTAAGGATATCAAGCAGCATAAGAGAGTGTAGTAGCATGAATGTACAAGGAATAGACAAAGTGGCAGTTATAGACTCAGTAGGTAAGTGTGCTTCTCCATAAAACATAATGTAAACCTGTTTGTGTTTTTTTCTGGGGAGCCTTGGAATTTCAGGGTCTTGGGTTGCTCCTTCCCCAAAGCCTTGTTGGTGTTTCCCTGAAGCTCCCTAATGGTTTGCTGCAATCTCTGAGATACCCTTGCATGATCTGTCTTGTTTTGGCATCTAAGGCATAGCGACCATCTCCCCCACAGTTGTAACAGAAACCTTCTCGCCGGCTATCACCCCTCCTGATACTCTTGAGGATGGCAAAGTATGGCCACTTCTCAGGTCAAATCTCTCAGTGCCGCTGCCTCTGATGGGGCATCTTCCATCTCTCCAAGCACTGTGGTGGTGTGACTCCCTGCCTTCTTTGGCTGCACCACTGCGTCCATTTGCAACAATCACTCCTCCTCTTCACGTATCTCTTGAATGAGCTTGTGGAATGGGGGTAGGTTTTGGGCCCACTCCCTCAGCTGCAGTTGCCACCACATCAACCCATCTTGTTGGGTGCCCTGAAGGATCTGGTCCAACCTAGTGGAATCAATGTGCTTGGTGGGGATGCCTTCCTTCCGCACTACCTGCCATAGCAAATCCTCTAGTCTCCTGATGAAATCCGACAATCATTCTTGGGGCTCCTGATAGGTATGGCTGAAATGATAATACAGGTCTTCACTGCAATTAGTAGCACCGTAGACACTCTCAAGAGTGGTTAAATAGACTTGCACGGTGGCAGCTAGTTAGGAGTCTTTCAGGGCTCAGACAATTTGCATGGCAGATCCCCTCAGACTCTCAAGCACACGTTTCTGCTTCTCAGCATCAGAGCATTCCCACTCTTGGACAAGTGGCACCGTAAAATCCCTCCAGGTCTCATAATCATCCTCCCCTGAGGGTAAAGAGGACACCCCCCGACAAAGAACGTAACCGCTTGTATGGCGCACTTTCATATGCCGGCTTCAATGCATCTTTGAGAGCATTTCTCAGTGCTTTGGCCCATCCAACCAGGCTGGGTGCTGTGGGTGTTGGAGCCCCTCCTAATGCCAAAATTAATTCCTCTCTTATCCGCTTCTCATCCACCATCAAAGCTTGCAATTTCTGCACTAAAGAATCCACCTCAAGTGACACGGGCACACTAGTAGGGGACTGCTCTGCCCCCAGAATTGTCCAGGGGATACCACCTCCTTGCACCTCTTTGGGCACTTTATCAAGATCTACTTCCTTGGAGTGAGTACATAGTGCTACCATGCCCTTCACTTTGCCGTTGTAAATACAAGGGTGGACCTTCACTCTCCCCAGTATTTCAGCTGCATCTAGGCCCTCCTCAATTTCATTCGGTTCCATCTCTTCTGGGAACCCCGCCACCAGCACAGCTTTGGTTACTGGGATTTGTGCCCCTCGGCACAGGTCTTCTAGTAATTCCTTCTCCATTTTATTTTAATTTTTTAACTAAGTCACTCAGGAGTTTCTTTGTGAAGGAGAGTCCAGGGCGCACAACGTAGGTGTGTGCCTGTGTGTACTGCAAAATCCTTATCCGGGCCACCAGGTGTAACTTTAGCACCCTCATGGCCAAGATGGAGTTTGCTCTGCAGGCAGCTCTGGGCAAGAGAAGGCGCGCGCAGGAATGCAACAGGAAAAATTCCTTCCACCCCAGGGGCATCTGTTCCAAACCTCACAGAGTGAGCCCACCAGAAAAGTACAATGGATATAAGAAAGGGAAATATTTATTTACAGAGGGATGAGAGGAGAAAAATAACAAGGGGAAATATAGGGGGAGCAGTAAAACATAGGGTTGCATTCAAACCAAGGCCCCACAGGCCCAGTTGTAGCACAGTCTGAAAGGGCAGACACCGAGCAATGTGTCTGCACACAGAGTTCAGGAGTCCTGAGCAAAGTTCCAATCTGGCACTGAGTCTTGGGTGCTCCTGGTCATCTTCAATGCCAGTAAACTTTCCCCAGCAAACCCCTCCGGTGCCCTCTTCTGCCGCTCTCTGCAAAGCCACACAGAGCGACCACCTCCCCACTTAACTAACTAGCAGCCTCCCTCCTTATTCCCAATGCAGAGTCACAAGCCCCAGTACTCACAGCCCCATGCAGCTCTGGGCAGCAGTAAAACTGGGTCCAGGTCCGGCCTGTCCTTCTTGGGCGATTTCTCCCTGGCACAGTGCTCCTCCAGGCTCCTGTCCTAGGGTGTCCCCGACTGGCCGCCCTGTCCTTCCCAGGCTTCAGGCAGGTTTACTTTGCGAGGGCCTGCTTGCTGCAGCCCTTCTCTCTCTGGAGCTCCAGAGCCACACCCTGGAGTTTCCCTCCTTTCTCTCACTGCTCCCCCTTGCCCCTTAGGAAAATGATTTAAAGGGGCCATGCTCTCTAAACCCCAAAGGGGTTACAATCAGAAGGTGTTGTCATGTATAAGAAATAGACCCCTCAGATATCTGCTAGAAGTAAGCATGACCAGAGTATGCATCCGACAAAGTGGATATTCACCCATGAAAGCTTATGCTCCAATACGTCTGTTAGTCTATAAGGTGCCACAGGACTCTTTGCTACTTTTACAGATACAGACTAACACGGCTACCCCTCTGATACTATGACCAGAGAGGGGTTCATGCTGTATTTGGGTCCCCTAGTTTATTAGTAGCCATTCCTAAACTAGTCATTAAGCAGTGTACTGCTGTCTCTCTAATCTAGGGTCATGCACAGGATTTTCCCTTCATGGCTTTTCTTTTAATTTTATTTTTTAAAAGTCTTTTCTGATTCCTGGCAATGATGATATCTCTTTTCTGTACTCCCTTGTATTTCAGACACTGGAGCAGAGAATGTCTCTGTCCCTTACTCTTCTTTATCACCTTGATTGCTTGCTTAGTTCTATTTTCTGGGTTTGGCCTGTGCTTTGTGTTTCCTTCCCTAATCTGGTTGTTGGTTCCTTACTGGGTGAACATGTGCTTTAGCTCAGCTCAGTTTGCTGCAGTGAGGTCATCTGCTACTATGAGCTGTGTGGGGACTTGCAGTAGTCCAGCTGTTTTAATTGGTTAATAAAGCACTTTGAGCACATTTTAGCTTTGGGTGGGGTTTGCTCTAATGATTTGGAAGCTGGTTGTAATAAGATGTAAGGAGTGAATAGCTATATAATGAGAGGCTCAAACTTTCATTTGAATTTTGATTGTCTAGTGCTTTGGGGGGGGCATATTTATTTGCTGTCCTGGTTGATGTAGCATGAGAACTTAATTGTTCTTTTCTGGCTGGTGATCAGGATGAGGGAAGTGATCCAATTCTGCTCCGTGGTGGACTGTTGCTATGTACATAAAACGTTTGTCGTTGGACTGCAAATGTAAGGTTGCTATAGTTATAACTGTCTGTTAAACTAGAGCCCTAGACTTTACTCTCAATTGGTTGGGTTATACTACTGAACAGCTCTAGCAGTAGTGTTAATGATGGATAGTGTGTCTATCTCATTTCACAGGTCTTTATTCAGTGGGTTTGTAAACAGTCTTTTGTTCCCAACTGTGTTTATGATGAGACTACCTGGGTATGCATAAACTAGGGTGTGTTCAATCTCCATGTGTGTAATACAACATTAGTCTGTGTTATCTTGGAGTGCTCTAAAATGTCTGTCTGAAGCACTTTTTCTGAGTTGACCAGTAGACCGTTGTGTTGCAGTAACTGTCAGAAGGTGTGAACTATTTTTTGAAATGTTATTCTGTACTTGATGCCTTTATAACAAATCTATTTTGTAGCATTTCTAAGAGCCAGTCCTGGTACCGGATTAAACAAATCTTTTGTCTCAAAGTCTATGAAATAGAACAAGAGAAAATATCCCTTTATTTTTACTACGTTTGAGCTTCTGATGAAGTAAAGATGTGGTTGGTGGGTAGCTCATCAGGGAGGAGTCCCATTTAATTCTCATGGAGTATGTTGCTGAAGGTGACCTATTATCTTGCTTTATTGAGAATGCTACAGAATAGTTTGGGGATATCGCTATTTGAGTTGAGAGTAACTCTGCTCAAAACTCCCATATAGGTGCTGCTAGAGACAAAGTCTGGAGATGGAGAGAAGGAAATTCTTTCTGAGGGCCCTGAGGAAAGAACTCAAGATACACAAATCAAATAACTTTGCAAGCAGCTGGACCAGAAGAGATACTTGAGTGGGTTAAAATCTCTGAAGGTGTGCTTTGTGGGGACAAGCCACTCCCTTAGCATTTACTTTGGAAAGGATTATCATAGGCACTAAGGGATCTTTGTTTACTTGAGACTCTGTAGAGTGAACCATTGATGAACCTCCCAGGAAAATTCCCCTGACAATCTAAAAGAAAAGAAGTACTTGGGGCACCTTAGAGACTAACCAATTTAAAGGTGCCACGAGTACTCCTTTTCTTTTTGCGAATACAGACTAACACGGCTGTTACCTGAAACCAATCTAAAAGAAAAACATTGTTTCCTGGAGTGATGGAACTTTTTGAAAAAAGGTGGCTGCTGGAGAGTCTTCCACAGTTGTACTAATTCTCTTGCAGTCTTTTCATCAAGAGATTCTTGTCTGGGGGACAGATACTCAGATCATCTGTCTAAGCAGGGGCTTTACATCTGAGTGATATGAAGCTGAGTGTGGAGATCACTGACAGGTCTGAAAAGGGAAGGATTGAGGCTGCCTCATCCCTCTCCAGCCACATTGCTGCCTCAAGGCATGTGAGTGTTGGTGTCTTTGATCTGCTATTGGCATGACTTAACGAGCCAACTATTTCCTACAGCACCAAATTAGTACAGAGTGACTTTAAATCTAGTTTAGGGTGCCAGATTAAACCCCTTTTAAAATATTAGTAGGAAGCAGGTGAAAATGTATTTGTTGTTTGGCTTTTTTTTTTTTTTGTAGCCACCTGTTTCTAGTATCCATGGAGTAAATTTGGAGCCCATCACTGAGTGTTACTGGAGGATTATGAAGCAGAACTGACTCATGGTATAGCTGGTGCAGGTCAAAGTGCAACTGCCTTCTCAAAATAACGCTTAGCATGTGCCCC